AAAAATAACTAAACTTGCATTCTTAAAATGGGGGGGGGGGTATTTTGAAACCAAGTATCAAATTTTTCAAAAGGATGTAAATATACATTTGCTACCTCCTCTGTTTGTAAAGTCATTATTTTATAAGCCAGTTTTCTACACTTTTCTTATTACAATGCCTGTTAATTATATTATTTATTTTGAAAAATTGAATTGGTTTGTTCATAATCCTCGATACCTTAGAATTACAAGTTTATGTAGATTTATCATCACAAAAGTGATTAGGTATTGTGCATCATTATCTTTAAGAATCTGCTCAGTTAAGATTGCATAATCTTTAACCAGAATTTTCATTTTTAGCCAGGGAAGAACTTTATACCTATGTGAGGCAATTATGAAGAAATTTTTATTCTGAGGCCCTCCTTTTTATATCCATATATCTAACAATTTTGTTTTACCATTCTGCTCTCATAAAAAGAATTATTTCCTAATATATTGAGAAATCTTTTGTTTGCTTAAATCATTTTCTGCAAAGCATAGTTTATGCATTAATTATTTTACTGGTTTATTAAAACATTTGTAAAAACAGAAAAGTGATTTCAGAAGTCTAATAGAAATATGACTCTTTTGGATTAATTTTGATAGTTTATCAGATCAAAATGATTTAGTTACTGACAGTTTAGTGACTAATATAGTATTTTGTATTGAATTCTGTGAATTGAAGATGGAAGATCAAAATTAAAAAAAAAAAAAAAAGTTTGATTACATCCTATGCTAAATTGAATCTAAAGTGTTCAGTTTTTGTCAATTAAATGATATTTTCCGAACTTTGTATATATATTAGAAAGAATTTACAGCTGACTATCTGTAATATGTGAAACAGAATGATAATTTAAAAATTCTTTCCTGGAAATTATTTAAATAAGCAATCAACATATGAAAAATACTGAGCAATTCTCATAGAGTCACAGTACACAAAGAAAATGTTCAGTTTATTGCTGTTGCAAAGTTAACTGATTAAACCTGTGAAACATCCAAAATTCACCTTTTTTTGTTGAAATTTATTGCAGTTTTATGAATTTGCTAACAATATAACTGTTCTACACTTGAGGTTGAAAAAACTATTTTCGTATAAAATATGTATCAGAAAATTCATAGACATGTTAAGGGGAAATTCAGAAGTAATAAAATGTATATTACAAAACTTTATCTTGCAGTCTTTTAGGTAAATGGGCTAAATAATAAAAATAGTTTTTTCGCCCAGTTATAACAATAATATGATTGCATGCACTAATAATGAATTAGGAGCTGTTAAAAATGACACACTTTAAATCGAAGAGAAATGAATGTATGTGTGGAGTATCTTTATTATGACTCTGTATTGTGAATCAGATTTTCTTTTGTACATAGGAATTTTGATAATATAGTAGAATTCATATATTTGCTTCCCAGATTTTATTGAATGTGAGTATTGTTATAGTTAAAATATTGCTTTATAGTTTTTAGGGCATTTAATATTATGCAAGCTTTTTATATAAATATTTATTTCAGATTTGTGTAGGCTATTAAAGTCCCATACGTGATGTGATATATTTTTAATGTTCTTTTGATTTAGCAATTTCTTACTAATGGAATCATATGATATTAGCTATAAAAATTAAATGATTTTTGATAAGTTAAAAGATTCAAAAAAAGTTTTTTTTTTTTTTTAATTTTCTATGATAATAGCTTTATTGTTAAGAAAAAACGTGCGAGAAAAATTTAACGCTAAGCAAATAAACATATGCATCAATTAAAAAAAATTGAATTTTACAAATGTGATATGTGTGCCAGCTTTGTAGAAGAGGGTTAAAAAATAACTGCAAGATTTGATTCTGACACCAAACTAAATAAGGCCATGTTAACAACTGCAACCATATCGACATAGTATATGGTGTTGTATATGCTTGTGATTTAAATAAATAAATAAATCAAAGTACCAATGAGAATTTTATCTTTGATGTTAATATGAGTGTAAATTGAAATTTTTAAATTATAAAAGTAACAACACAAAATTGTAATTAGCAATGCTTAGCTTTTTGGATTCATTATTCAGACACTGTAAGATCCTTTAAAATATGGGGTTTTGTATATCTGATGATTTTTCCCTTTAAAAAATCTACTGTTTTGCAACAATGGCCCATGTAAGTAGTTTGATTCATCCTTAAAGGGGAGATAGACATTTACTTCACAAAAGACAGGGAAATGCAGGGGATTGGCTGAACTTCTAGATGCATTTCCTTATGGAGAAAAAATTTAAAGGTACGATTCTTTCCAAGTCAGAATATTTAGTGATATGCAGAAGGGAATGTATAGAAAATATCATTCTGTTTTGTCATATTATAGTACATAGTTTTCTTTAAAAAAAAAAAAAAAAAAAAAAAAAAATTAAATAATGATTTTAATTTATCTAATAAAGCTTAACAGAAGAATTCTATATATATATATATGTATATATATATATTTAAGTGTTATAAAATTCTACAGTTATTTAGTTTTTTATTTTATAGATATTTATAATCTTTTTTATTTTTGAGGTGTCTCTCATTTCTTAATGCATCTGAAATTTTATCTTCTAGATAATATAAACTTGTTTTTTTTAATTTACAAAAATTAATGGTTTTGTAAACAAAAAATTTACATATTGTCAAATATCCTTGTTAATTTTTTTTTTTTGTTGTTGTTGTTGTTTTGGTTGCATATGTTATTAAACTTAAATTTCAAAACTGACTTCATTATACTATTCATTCATTGTTCATGCTACAGTGTTCTGTTACACGGGTGCCTCTAGTTTATATGTGAAGTTTAAATATAAAAATTAGGAAATAGAGGATTATTTGCACAAATAGCATTTTACATTACGTATTGAAAATTAGCAAGTAATATAATTTTCAGTTATTAATAATAAAGGAATTTACTTCAATAAAATATTAACTTATCAAGTAGTTCAAAACCTCAATGGAAAGCACCATGTATTCAAAAATTACCTTTCTTTTTTCTACTAATTTCACAACCTTAACAAAAAGTAGTTTACTGTGATATCAGAACTATGGCAGTTTTTTTATGGCAAACTGCTTTCAAATCAGAAAACTGTAGGTTGTGCAGTTTTGTAAAGAATGGGAAAGAAGTTACAAGGTAATTAGTTGCTGTTTTCAATACTTTGTATTATTCTGTGTTTTGTGATATTTCATAGAACATATACATCACAATTGAATCAGAAACAAAACAACCCAGTAAAATAACATAATAATATTAATATAACAAGTAATTGAAAATTCATTGGTCTTCTTCAACAGAGCCAGGTTTCTGAATTATATATAAATGATAATAAATTCATGAAATAATTCAAAAGTAAGTGCCAAATTAGTATCAGGATTTGTTACCTTATTACATAGTATAACATTAAACTTATGGAAATAATTCTTGTCTTGAAATTAAATTTTACCTTTATTTGTGACAGTGTTAAAGTTCTAAAGAACCCTAATGTCCATGCAAAAATATTTTTTCTAATATTTTTATGAATGGTAATTAATAAAAACAGAAAAATAACTATCATTGTAATCATTTATTTCAAAACAAGAAAATGCAATTGATATAATTCTAAATATAATACATAAAAAATAATTTTCTGTAGTATACCAATTTTAGTCAAAAGTCTTTAATCCGGACTCGTCGGGACTTCGGCGATTCCGGATTATCAATTTTTCCGGATTATAGATCATCAGTTTAAATCTGGTAAGATGGCATGCAGAAATTATAAAATTAAAAAGATGAAACCGTAATTTATAAAATAATGAGCAATTATGATCTAAAGGGTATCAAAATTTACCAAAAAAGAAGCCTAATATTTATTTGTTTACTTTATTAAACATTTCTTTCAACGTGCGAATGCGTAAAGCATACCTTACGCATAGCCGAAATTAGAAAATTGCAACCAGAAAACTATTTGATTTGTATTCGTGATATTTTATATGATAGAATCGGAATTTGATAATTTAATCATATCAAAGACGGAGTACATTGAAATTAAATACTACATTTAGTAAGGAATTATAAGCTGAATAAAATAAAAACATCTGCCCTGAAGATAACGATAGTGTTGACAAATCAACTTCCAGTTCATTGCGCGCCGCGACGTCTCCGCCCCCCCCCCCGGGCGCAGAGCAGCGTGAAATTGATAAAATGATTTCGGAACGGTTAGATAAACAAAGAATATGCCTTTATCCATTTTTTGTAGCAATTCGTTTTTTGTTTGATGGACATCGAAACATACTTTCGTTTTCTAGATCCTTTGGGAGCTCCAGCATCGGAAATTCTATTTGACATAATCGAAAGTTCAAGCTTACTTTTAGAAAATTGCTCTTACAGTCTGCAAAAAATAATAAGCCGGATCCAATTTGAAGATTAAGGAACAACGCAATCATCAACATTAACTGAAATAGATAATTAGATAATTTTAGTTTATACCGTCCGTTATATATTAAATGCACACGCGAAAACGTATTCTGCACTTGCGCAGACGCATATGCGCAGTCGTAAATGTCTTGCGCGCACGAGTAAAACGCCTATGCGCATGCGCAGAAAGATTTTAGCTTTGAGGTCCGGATCATGGGTGTCCGAATTAACGACTTTTGACTGTAGTAACAAATATTAATGTGAAATTGCACCTGTTTTTTGGAACATGAATTTGGTATCTAATTTTCAATATACATGTATGGATTTCATCTTTTTTAATTTTCAAACGGTCCTTACTTAAGAAACGCCCCTTGTATAATGCATATGTGTGTTTATTTATTTATTTTATTTTATTATTTTTTTTTTTTTTTGTGTGTGTGTAATACAATTTTATAATCTTAGCATTCTCTTTTTATGTCCCCATATAAAGATCTGTACCTAATGATATTGTTTTTTTCTGTTTTCATTTCTTCGTCAGTGTATTTTGTTTAATATGTGTCCTTAAAAATTTTTATTAAACTTCGCAGGTGGATAAAAGAACTCTTCCTGTATTAAGTCGTTGGCAGAGAAATTATTCAATTAAAACAGTCCTACAAGAGCTACGCAGAGCGATGACTTTAAAGGAAAATCAAAGGCTAAGTCAACCACCTGAAGGATCTGCCTTCTAGCATCAGTGCACATATTATGGGTTCTAACGACTATTATGTTTGTTGCCAAGCATCCATTTGCTTGGTATTTTTTTGCCCAAGTGGACTGGAAAGTAAAAGATTCAACAGTCTTTTTGTATATTAAATGCTTTACACTACCTTGTTGGTCTCCCTCCACTTCTACATGTGGACGCTGCAGATTGTCTTAATTGTGAAAAGCAAGGTATTAGTAAATGCAGTAAATCGGCTCTAAACTATTTACGTAAATAATATGTATTAAAGTTTACACATGCATTAGCACGCGAATTGCGAATGATACTTAAATATTGTGCCTTTTGTTCTTGCATATATTGTAGATAAAATGGGGCACATTGGCAGTGATTGTAGCTGTTGTTGATTTTGATTTTTTCGCAGAATCATATGCCTTAATAATGGCATTTCTGAAAGGATACGCTACTGATCAGAAAATTCTTTATCAGTATGTGGATAACTTCATGTGCTTGCATGTAATTCTGTCTACACTAAATGCTTAAAATCAGTGAAATAACACTATTTTGAACCATTTTACTGAATTATATTTCTGGCAAGCAAAAATACCTTTTATGATACACCATCGTTTTATTTTAAGATACATTAGAAATTTCAAATGATATACATTTAGTCTTTAAGATTTTCTTCTGTGTTTGATAAATGTCAATAGTTCTGTGTATTAGTATTTTATGATTATGTAAAAGAGAAGACCTAGGTTCTTAAATAAAAAAAAAGTTCATTTTATTATTTTCCTTTAACACATTCTTTGTTTCAATGCCTTGCATAGTTTTTAATCAATTTTTGTTAATTGTTTGTGTTATTTATTATGAATTTTATATTCTAGTTTAAAAGTAAAATTAAGCTAATCATTTTGTTTTGTTTCCTGGTTTTAGCCTGATATTATTATCATTTCAATTGCAAATAGAATTTTATGAACACCTTTTACCCTGTTTATTATGATAATTCTGTTTCAATTTTTTTCCCCTTACAGAATTTTAAAAAAAAAAAAAAAAAAAAAAAATCAGTAGCTTTTCCTTAAGAGGAGGGATCTGTGAAACAATGTGGTATATATTGCCCTGGAATAAATGTATAGTGATTTTTAATTAATTTGATCAATGATAGATTTTACACTTGGAACCTAATTTTTATACACAGTTAATAAAGTATTGCTTTTATGTTGGGGGATTATTATTATTAAAGTATTATTCTAAATTTTGATAAGAATTGTACAAGGTTTAATCCAGGAATTAGAAAATTAAAAGAGCTACTTCAATTGACGTATCTTTGTGCATGAATTTAGATAGTCTTGCATCACTGTCTTAGTATGTGCAAAGTACCGTTATAACAGTTCTGCTTTTAAAAACTCAGTGCTGTAATTTAATCTTGGGCTTAAGATATCATGAAACATAAAGTAAGGTTTGGAGTTTGCAAGAAATAATTAAGAATATGATCATTCTTTTTGGTATGTTTCAGTGAAGCATATACACTTTGCTTCATAAGTCTGGTACAATTTTTTAAAAAAACCTCAATACCTAGGATATATTGGTGTTACATGCAAGCAAAGAAAAGGCATGATGCAATAACAGATTAATACAATTTTTATGTACACATTCACATCATGCTGTTGTATTCCGAATATGGCAATTAAAATATTGATTATAGTTTTGTTCTGTGTATTCTTGCCATGCATTCTTTGATATAACTACAAAGAGGATATCATATATTTAATTGTAGAAGTAAATTATAACATTAAGGATATACCATTTCATTCTCTCTTAACATTTTCACTACAGCAGTGGCTTATGGTATCTGACTGAAAGATTTATTCAAATTAAGGATGCAGGTGATGTGTAATATGGTGAATCTTTACTGGAAACACAGTATGCAAGAATGGGAATAAAATATAGGTTCTGGGAAGTGTTTCACATCATATTGAATAACAAACATGCAAGAAGAAAAAAGCACCCTGCATCACATTAAGTTTTTGCAGTTTTAATTAGGTTTAATTGAGAATAATAAGGAAAGTGTATTATCAACAAAAATTATTATCAATTTTAAGATGGTGAGTAAAGGTTTTAACCATTGTCATTTTCTTATTTGCAAAGTTAGCCAAATAGTGTTTTCTCTTCTGATTAAAATAAGTTATTTTGTTTACTACAGGATGCAGCAGTTTCTTGAGGTAGTAGCTGAAGAGATTGGAGATTTTATGTTATTGAGAAGAGCAGAAAAACTTGCATCATTATTATTATTGAATGTAATTCACAGGGTTCTTTTGGTATCACATTGCAAAAAGTACATTTTAAAAACAGGAAAGAGAAATGTGATAAAAAGTACTTGTTACATTTCATTAATTTGTAACTATTATATAAATGATCCATAGTACCAAATATTTTTAACATTCAAATTTTTGTCTCATCAAAACCACTTAGTATATTTAATAGCAGAAATGTATTTTGATGAACAATAAACTTCACGACATTTCAGAATAACCTCTGACTTTTAGTCATATCTTTTCATATATGTGATAATTTCCTCAGTTAGATTATTTTCATTCTTTGTGGGAAGACATATTAGTTTTATGCATCGTAAGAAAAATGGATTTTGAGAAATTTTCAGAACAAAATTGAATCTCATTTGTTTTGTACATAAATATAAATAAAATTGAAAGTTCCATTAGCTATATCATTTTGCCGGAAATTAATAATAAAGTGGAACACATTAATTAATAATAAAGTACATTGATTTCATACACTTGAGCATTGGTGTTATCTATTCTGTGTTTTTAATGAGTTAATTCACTTTCATAGTTAATGCATTCAAGCCCATGGCATTGCCACCACACTTTTCCATTACTTTTTATATGCTGGAAAAAAATCCTAGTTTTTCTGTAGCATGTCTCTTTTGTAATCTCGGTTTAAAATATTTAATGGGAATATATTCATATGTTTAATAATTTACTGTAATCTCAAGAAATAGTTTCATTACAGAGGACAAAATAGGATTCTTTCAGAGATTAAATTAACTGATTAAAACTTAAGGTAATGAATGTATTTTTTGTGATTTAACAGTGAACAATTTAGTTTTTTCGACTAGAAATCACATCAATGAACATTTGAGAATTTACAGTAGTTATAGTGCAGAAATTTTAATTATAAATAGCAAATCTTAAACTGAAACCTAAAATGTGTCTTAAAATGTTCAGCATGTAATATCACAAACCATACTTTTGAGAAACTTTTGAAAATAAGAAACTTTTGTATTGATTATATCATCTTGAGGTCCATTGTTATTTTAGAGCTATCCTTTGATATTCCAGTGTGTTAAGTACCTGTTTTATTATGTTTGTATTCTCGACTACTATTTCCAGGCTATTACAGATTTTGAAGTAATATGCATCCTCCGTTATTTATTTTTGGAACGGAATTGTTTTTTCCAGTCTGAAATTTATGTAATTCATTTAGATGAGTAGAGTTGCATAAGTTAAATGTCATTATCTTATCTCTTGGCTGCTCAGTTTATATATATATATATATATATATATATATATTGTTTTTAGCTTTAGTAAAAAATTTACAATTCTATCCCTGTTGCTGTTAAAAAAGGAATCACATTCTGCTTTCTTTTTTGAAATGTAAAAAATTAATCTTTTAGCTCTTTGAGTTCCAGTAAATTTTGGATTTTTAGAGATACTTTTTTTTTTTTTTTTTTTTTTTCCCCCTTCCCTAGACAATTATTACTAAATAAACTTCTTAACTATGGAATATAAACTGATTAGGCTTTTTAAATGGGAAGACTTTGTCAAGTAGTTTGCATATAGGCCAATATTTTTTAATATTCCAATCTTGATTTGGCTGACTCAGTGGCTACAAAAATATTTTAATCATATTATTGAATCACAATTTTTATTAAATTTCTGCTTATTTCAAATAAAAAAAAATTAAATATAGTATATCAGACATGCAAGTTCTTATTTTGAAAAAATTCCCAGAAATATGCATTGAACATAAGAACTGTAGACTTTTTGTACTACTTCAATTTATTAAAATAAATTTATCTTCTTTGATAGTGTTATGTTTTTAACATTCATCTTTTAAACCATACCATTCATACATAAAAAATCATTAAAATTTGCAGCAGTTATGTTATTTATAATGGAAATTTTCTAAATAATTGTATATTTGAAAAGCAGAAAATTCACTTTAATGCTAAAATTTTGACGTGCTTCTAATAGCAATACACTCTTAAAATTCTCCGGAAGATGGCTTCCTTGTATACAGAACTGATCTTAATTTTGTGTAGCTTTATTTTGTTATTAATTGCCAAATATGAAAGAGTAAGTATATATTTCACTTACAACATATAACATTTAATTATTAATCAGTAAACTTGATACCTAACATATATACGTACACAATCCTCAAATTATTATCTTAGAACAGTTACTTGAAAATTTTAAGTTCTTGTTGAATCCTGGCTTTCACATATTTGTAACAGAACATGCAATTATAGCATTCTGGTTAATTATTCTTTAGCAGTGAATACTGCTGATTCCTCTTTCCATTGTATGTAGTTCAGTGATTCAAAGTCTTTTTCATGTGAGCTTTTAATTGATTTTTTGATTGCATGTCCATTCTTTTATATAATTAAAGAGGCCATTATACATTCATTTGTTATTTTAAATCCAGTATAGAAAGCTGCATTATTTGTGACATTTCCTGAATGAAGACTAACTGGTATAATTACTTACTTTTTCATTTTAATGCCTAATATAAATTTCTTGAAAAATGCAAATATTTGCGTAACTTTCTTTTTACTTCGCAAAATAATATGGGTAATAGTTACGATTTCAAATTTTGACCATTACTGTATTTAATCTGTTTGGTGCTATAGCAGCTTTGTCCTAGTTGTTGATGTTTTTAATTCCTTAACATGTAATCAGTTACTCTATCATCTTATGAAAAGGAAATTGTGGAGAAGAAAGCAATTTATTTTTCAAAATATTACAGTATTTAACATTTTTATAATGAAGGCCAGTTGGTTTTCTAATAAAAAATTGTAAATGGAAGTTAATACAAAATCTTAGGTTTTATTCCATTTTGTTGAATTGTTATTTTCAGAGCAACATTTTCATGTTTATAAAAATATTGTTACATGATGTGTTGTACCGATAACACAAAATTTATTGTTCACACTGGGTGATAATTATACAAATCATGCATTTTAAAATCCAGCAAGCTTTATGTATTTATGTAATTGGAAATAAATTTTGAGTTAATAGTAGGCATCCTTTTGGATTCTTGGGAAGTTAGTGTAGGTTGCAATTTTTCACCATAACTTTGATAGTTTAATATAGAAATGTTACGCGACAGTCGGAATTATACTATGTAATCTATATCATTAATATGCCTAATTTACTTAAATATCTTTTAAGGAGATAGTTACTGTTAAAAAATACGAAAATATTTTTAATACAGACCTTGACTATGTTTTCTGAGTGTCAGGGCTTCATTATTCCTAGTTGAACAGACATGGTAGATTCTCAATAGCAACATGATTATGATTGTAAAAAAAATTAAAGCTGTTCTTTCTCAGTTTTTGTGCATTTCGTATGTAAAACATACTGTTTTGCAAATAAGCATTTTGTCCTAAAAAGTCCTTACTTTATTTTCGCAGCCATTAGTTTTAAACATATACTTCCATTTTACATTTTTTTAAATGATGTAAATAATCATATGTTGGTATTTTTATTTTTAAAAAGTCTTTCTTGTGAAAATAATAGAATCTAACTTTTATACATTCCTTCAGTCCTTATATTTTAGGGAAGTTTTGTACTCGGTATGAAAAAAAAAAATAAAATAAAATAAAATAAAATAAAATAAAAAATTAAATAAATAAATAAATAAATAAATAAAATAATAATAAATAAATAAATAATTTTAAAAAAATGACCAAGTTATTTAATATTAAAATTTGCAATTTTTTGTCATGTTCAATATATGTTGAGGGGTTGGTTAATAAATAACTTCGAATAATACAAGGTGTCATTTTTAATGCTTATGTTAGAACTGATTGCATGTGAAACCTGTCACAATTTTCTGGAACATGGTAATATATAATAATTTATTATGTTTATTCTTCTGTGAATAAGATATTGATTTTGAAAAAATATATTGATCAGAATGTTATACAATAATTTGTATAGAAATACTCATCACTTAATCTCTCTTAACATCCAAAACCTTTTTCTAAGGTGATAGTTTATTTTTAGCTATGTACACATGCATGTGTACATACATAGCTAACACAAAGCTATATTTTTCACACATGCATAGCATAACTTATGTACAATCCCTAAATATGATCCTTTACTTTAAATATCTGAGTCAATATTTGTCATATGGTAGTCAAACTTTGTGTGTTTTATTTTATGAGGAGTGAATTTTTTTTTCTAAATACAAGTATAGGGACTGGAGGAACTTAAAAAAAGGTAGTTTGTAATTTATACAAAATTGATCTGTTTAAAATTGCCAAAACACAAATATTTGCATCATTTAAAATATTTTAATAATTGGAATTTTGTGACTATGAGCAACATTTCCGAAAATAAAAGTAAAGTAAGGACTTCTGTGGCCAGTATGTATAATTTTTCAAAAAGCTATGTCATA